TCATTTCTAAACACGCCAGCGCCCAATTAATGATTCACCACTTAAGAAACGAGTACTTTCAATAAAATAATGGTTTTTTATTTTTCCACGCAGTAAATGTCAAAAAAAAAGTGTTTCTACTGTTTCGATGCATCAAACGAAGGAATTTTTAAGCTTCAGCACCGAATACGTGGCCCAGTAACGTATTTACGAGGAGTGAAATGGGAGAGGAAAAAGGAAAAGGTGCTTTCGGTAGGGTGCTTTTCAATAAAATTAGTGACATTTTAACGTCATTATATTCCCAGTACATTCTATTTGAAATACTGATGTTTGATTTCTGACTTTTTGATTTTGATTAACCAGCGTTTAACTGAAAAAGTATTTTCGAAATGTTTCCGTTCCGGAACAACACCAAGAGTACCCCAGAAACACTCCTCGAACAATTTTTGGAGCACTCGGCTTGAATTATTTTGAACATTAAATTGCCGGAGGTTGTAAGATGCACTTACTGAAGCACAGCAATCATATCTCTACTGTCGCGCACGAGCTTCTTCAAATTTTTCAGCTCATCCCTCACCGGCTGCAGATCCAAACTATTCAACTGAAAATTAAGTGTGTTATTTATCATCCTTCTTTATTTCTACCAAATTTCTAAAAGTTTGGCACAGCTTTCGCTCTAACAGTGAATTGCATTCGTCACATCAAAAGTCATTCGTTAGAGCACATGTGAGCAACAGGCGGTCCGCAGCCGGATCTGGACCCGCGAAGGTAATCGGAATGTAATGACCTAGATGAACGGAGGGTTTATAGACCGCTATTCCTCTGCACTCTCATGAAAATAGATAAGGCTAAAATACGCACGAGGCTAGTACAAGACAATTTGGAAAATACTTGAGGCCCTTTGCCAGTAGTATAAGCTCGGATTTCAACAATCTTGTATCAAAAGTTCAAGCCCAGAGCTCACATTGACCTGGTATTGATTATTTTTTCACTGAATGGGTATTCCTGATAAAAGCTTATCTGTTTTATGCGTTTTTGCATCTTATGCAAATGCAGCCCAGGCTGAAACGCACCAGGCTCTCCGGTGCGATCATCCGTTTTTGCACTAAACTCGCTGATCGCTATTAGCAGAAATGATCTCTACGCTGTAGCCTACCACTTGGTCATATTAGCGCGCTTTCGAGGAAGGGCGTTAGTTGGGATGAAGGTGGTGCATTATAGAGCCGGACGGACATCCGGGTGCATGATTACTGGTTTTTTGCATGAAATCCGGTTTTTTTTCGGTAAATGCTCACTTTATGTGAAAAAATGACGAATGCAAATTTTTTGAAAAAATGCAAATTTGCAGTTCATGAAAAATTGGAAGAGTTGCTCGAACGGTCGTTTGTCAAAAAATCCGTGCTCATTTGCATATAAGATTGCTGTTCAGGTCCGAGTTGCGAACGATTTCTGAGTTGAGGAGCAGCTTAAGGCTGTGGTTGGGGAGCTAGAGAGCTGAGTTTAAAATTTTTGTCTCGCACGTACATGGAGAATAACCCTACAAAGTTTCAGCCTCCCAGCTTTCCTGGTTGCTGAGATGAAAGTGGGTGACAAAATGCAATCGCTCTCCGAACACACACACAGAGAGCCCCTCGACAATGTGCGTTTTTGCTGGCTATAGCGCTGCTATAACGCTGCACAACAAAAATGCATAAAAACGTATAATGTTGAAAGCATGTCTGTGTGTGCGTTTAGAGACGAGTGAACTCACTTTTTAATTCATCAACGGGGGAGCCGTGAAGCAACACTACCGTCCCAGCTCAATTGCTTTCCCCTGTATGCAAGAAAAAACTAAAACATAGACGCATGAGCTGCACGTCTTAAACTGTAAATCAACATTTATACTGTTAACAGTTAACCATTCATACTATTAACGCTAAGTTTAGTGCAAAAACGCATGATCGCACAGGCAAGTCTAGGGCGTTACTGCCTAGGTTTTATTAAAAGGTGGTTGCGAACTTAGGTAAGTATGCAAATCAGGCCCGCGTGTCGCCAAAGGTTGCCCGTGCCTGTGTAAGGGCAACCAACACCGCTTTAATTTGGTTGTTCATAAAAAGTAAATTACACGTTGTATTATACCGCTATATTTGTTTTATAAACCATTTTTATTTTTACCAGAAATATCAATACCGCCCTGACAGTCGATCTGAGAATCCCACGTCCATGATGGTACTGAGAAGACTGCATACTTTGGGCGCAGTTATGAGAGCTCTTGATATGCTGAGATTGCTTACCTCCCAGCTAGTACGTGATGTGGGTAGTGCCGAATTTGTTTTATTGCTATATGCCATGCCATTTTACGTAAAACATACTGTATTTTTGCTTGAAAACGAAATTACACTGTACCGTTGTCAAGCAAAAATCACTGGCGACGCGCATCAAGCGGGCCCGTGCGACCATGCGTTTTTGCAGCATTTCGTGCTGTAATGAAATCGCTCGGAAACCTAGTAGCAAGGATTTGTGAAATATTGGCCCTCGAAGTTCTGGAAGTCAGTTGTCTATGCGGTGCTTCGACAAGGAACATTCCGTTAAAATTTCAGCTTCCCAATTTCTCTGGTTCTTGACTTGGCAATTTTCCTGCCAAAAAATTTCATGAATCCATTCATGAGAATTACACATGTCTGGGAGCTGATTTTGATATCTCCAACTTTTGCGGGGGGTTGGGAACATACCCTTAAATTGTCAGCCCCAGCTTTCCTAGTCCGCAAGTTAACCATTTTCCTGCCAAAAAATTTTACAGGATCGAATGTGACAACACGCATGCCTAGGGACTGAATTTGATGAATTTAAGTTGTAGAAGTGTTGTGGATATTCCTTGAAAATTTCAGCCTCCCAGCTTTCCTGGTTTCCGAGTTAGCAATTTTCCCGCCAAACACTTCCATGGGACCGCACATGAGAACTACACATGCCTGGAGGCTGAATTCGATAAATTTAGGTTGTACATGCGCCGTGAAAATCACCTGGAAACTTCAGCCTCCGGGCATCCCTGAAAAGCTAGCGATTATCACGCCAGAAACCCTCACGCAGCCATACGCAGGTACCACGCACACCTGGGGGCTAAATTCGAAATCTTTGTGTTCTATGTGGGCGATGAGCATGACCTCAAAATTTCAGCCCTCTAGCTTTTCTGGTTCCTGAGTCAAAACTTTCACCCTCTCCTACGCGGGGTCCAGACTTGCGTGAGGGTTGGTACCGTGGACCTGGGATGGCACTTTTTGCCGGGGAATGCAATGGCAAAATTTTGGCACCGAAGTCTGCTTGGGTGCCAAGTTAAAACACCCGGACAGACGCAAACACACAAACACACACACTCACACGGGGGCCGTCACAATATGCGTTTTTGCGTTTGCATGTAAGCAAAAACGCATAATACAGCAAAATAATTAAAAACAGTGGAAGGATGAGTAAAGAGTTACAACAGAAACATATGGCGCTGTTTGCAAATTGTTGTGGATGAATTTTCTAAAAGACTGTTTGTATAATATGCGCAAGAACAAAAATGCGATTTGAGAATTAAACTTTTTGTATAGGAAAAGTAGAACTGCAACTAAAAAGGAATGTTCATATAGTGTAAGTAATCAAAAAAGATAATTAGTAAAGTGACAATTATTGAAAGTGTACTCAAATACGATTGTTCCACATTTTTTTTATAAGTATGCTCTTTCTGCGCTTTACCCGAGCGGTCGCTTTCTTCCTTATGCGACTGCATTTCGGCACTTTGAGCTTGAATTAACGAAAAAAAAAAAGAAACAACAACGAGCCTGTGTTTCGGCTGAGAAGAATTTGAGCTGTATGAGGCTG